TGATGCAAAAATAGTTACGTGCTGTTTGCCAGGCTGACACAATATCATTAACAAAGTTCTTCCTTCCATTTTTTCATCTGTAGATTTTCTGTTAATGACTCATCCTAAGAAACTTCACACAATTGACTGCTGTTTCGTATGGACCCAGTGAAACCCACCAAAACTACTTCAAGCTTGGCAGTGCTTAGCTCATGAGCTCCTTGTGCCTTTTGGATCTTTGCAACATATTGATGGTGATTGAGGATTTGAAAGAACCTACTCAACTATTTTGTGGCAGTGCACATGGTTTTATATTTTCAGGAAATTATTTTGTAAAGAACAACTTTTAATATTGTAGTTTCACCTGTTTAATCTGATAAATGTTGAGGTGCAGTTTTGCTTTTAGAAATAATCATTACTTTAGTTAATAGAAAGTGCAAGTACAGTATGTTTTGATGCTGTTTTGTGCCTGTACATGGGGATGTACAGGTCTTTTGTATTCATGAGTTGAACTTTTGTAAATCACTAACAAGCTTCAGAGAAAATAGCTTTTTCACAAGCGTATTCAGAACATGTAACGTAGTGGCAAGGGTATTGCTGTAGCACCTGCTTCAACCAGCATATAGTTATTGTGCCCTGAAAAATAAACCTGCAACAGTTATCTATTCTGATTCTCAATTGGTACAGTATTTTAGGCAGCTCTATGATTAAATATATTTGAGAGCAATATGTCAATAGTTTGCAGGTGATATGTAGCAACAGGTCTATCCTGATGTACAGTATATGTGTTACCTTTTAGACCAGGTTTTGAAGTAGTCACTCAATCTTAGGTCATCATGGTAGGAAAATTTAGAGCAATACAGTTGAGGGGGTGGGGTTTTTGGCAATAATGGACAAAACCTGAAGTCCAGTTTAACTTAATTTCTTTCCTCTGAGTATACATGCCTGGGTGGAAGGGAGCCAGAGAAGCCGAGCATCGCATGATACATACCTCACAAGCAGGTATCTGTGTAACACCAGCGTTCTGTGTGGTGGTGTTGTTTCTCCTGTAAGATATTTATACACAGGGTTGGTTTTTTTGTTCTTAAATACCTTAAAGACAGTACATCACCATCATTTGTTTATAATTTTTCTGAAAGTGTATTTTAAAGATGTATTTACCAGTTAATATGCAAATAACTGAGTTATAGATATTCTTTCACCTAAAAAAGGTAGTACTGTGCAGTACAGAGTGAGGTTTTTAATATTTTTTTTCCATAAAAACTAGGTTAAGACTATAAAATTGCTTTCAGTTATATATTTATGGTACTGCTTAGATGGGTAATATCTTCTGGGGGGGGGGGGTGTTGTTTTTTTTTCCCTTTTTCGACCCAGTATGTATATTATGCTGAAGTTTTGAACTGGGATTGTTTTTCAGTACTTTAGACGTGGAGCTGTTGGTGTAAATTTATTTTTGATAAAGGCTGGGGGTGTTTATTTTATGGTTCAGACCTGCACATTTTGTTTTTGCACAAAAGGCATTTTAAAGAATCTGAAATATTATCTGCCAAATACTGAGGATAAAGTAATGGTGTGTGCAAGTAAATACTGCATTTTTAGTCCAAATGTTGCCATTACGTTGTTTTTATATAAAGGACACTTGTGAGAGGTGGTGGTTGGATATGCCAAGGACAATTACTTTCAATGGTGCCTACACTGTAAAGAAAAAAACATAAATAAAATGAAATTACTTTTAACTCCTTGTTTTAATTTTAAGAAGATGTTTCTGTTGAAAACTTTCATCTGCTATAGAACTGAAATTCCATTAGAATTTATATCTGAGAAAAAAGTCTGGAAATAGTTTTTGAAAACGATAATGTTATGGATTAAATAAATATTTTTATAAATGTAAAAGCAGCAAAAGTTGTAAATACAGTTGATCTGAAGCTTTACAGAATAACTGCATCACAGAAACAAATTGTAGTGCTCCTCTAGCTTCTGTAGTTGGTAGTCTTGTAAATCTGTTTATAGATGAAGCTTATTTCAATGTTTTGGGGGGTTTTAAATGGTTTAAAAATAAATATTTAAGTTCTGTAAACTTTCATGGGCTTGTTCTCTTGTGGATTTCATTCTAGATTTTAGCAAGACTTGCGTTCTAGTGCAAGAAAGGTGTTTCTGGCACAGAGCTGCACGGTTGCTTTGGAAAGGTTCGGGTTCCCTATGCTCTTCTTGTTCAAAGGACACCAAACAGCAGCTATGCCACGGGGAATGGATGGAGCAGCCCCAGGGCTCACTGTGGTTCTGTTCCTGAAGAGGAGTCTTCAGGCTATGGGTGCTCAGCTGAACGTGGTAGAGATGTCAGAGTGCTCTGACTGCGTTGGGATCTCAGCATTGGGGAGTGAAGGTACAGACAGGCCTGGGCCACAGGTTCACTACTTGCTTTGAGGAGCTCCATACACATTTCTCAGAGTTAAAAATGTGGTCTTCACTTCTATGTCACTTCACCCTTTAAGGTGTCTTATGTGAGAGACTGAGAGGAGAGGTGATGGGAATTCCTCCTGGATTTTGTAACTGGTGGCTCTTCCCTATTGACACAGATTCTTCCATCTGTGTAACTCTTCACCATTCTGGGTATGTGGAGGTAGTAAATTACTTGGGAAGCTGGAACCTGACCTGTGTGTGATACGACTGTAACAAGCTGCTAGACTATGGTGCCTCTTCCTTTCATGTGAAACGGGTGGGATGAACACTTACCTCATAGGGCATGTGGGGAAAACCTCATCCACATGTGTATGATACAGCCTTGCTCTTGTAGCACAGTCCATTCATTCCAGAAGCTGTCACTGTACTTACTGCACATGGCATGTCTGTCCTTGACGTTTCTGTGCATCATGACTGTAACTCCCCAGAATGGATGTTCCTGGTTTCCAGAGAACAGTTGTCTCTCCCCACTGTGCGTTAGTTATTGATGAAGCCTGTAACTTTATCAGCAGTATTCTGTTGCTGGCAGGTAGCTAATGGAATGATAGAGCAAAATATTCCTGCAGGAAAACCATCTTCTAGCTTGGCTTCCCATGGTAAATGCAGGAGAATTGACACTGAAGTAGTCTGGATCAGAATAGAAATGTGTTCTGGGTAGATGAGTCCTTCATCAGTGTGACCATCCTGAAACACTTCAGTTTGACTCCTCATGCTCCACTTCTGCACACGTAGAAACCTAACTGCCTGCTCTAGCATTTGATCCAATGCCTATTCATGAATAGGGAAGTGCGTAGGTCCTGGCTGTGTTTGCACAAAGTTTAGCAGTTAAAGGTCTGATTTTTATCATGCTGTTTTATGACTGAACGCTGGAATAAACTGTATTTTCCTCTTTGCAGAGATCTAGTGGTATGTGAGTTGGCTTGTCTCACAGTATTCCAGTAAATGAAGTAACACTTGCTGCAGAGATGAGGTAAACAGACTGAAAAACCTGTCTTGCCCTTCTCCAAAGTGAAGTTCTCTCTATACTGTGTGCACTTTGCTGCTTTTTCTGTCCTAACGTATATAAAATACAATCCCTGCTTGTGAGGGCTGGCAGAGCTCACTTTTGCCAGGTACTGTGTCATTTCCCCATCAGCAGCCTAAAGCATTCCATGGCCTCTCCATCCTTGTTTTCTTCCCTAGTGAGACACAGTCACTTCGGTGTTCTCACCTCTCTTGGATGAATAGGGCTCAGCAGGGACCATGGGGAAGGACTCACTCCGGGGTTATTTCAGTTGCTCCTTGACATCAGCCACCGCTTACTGGGATTGTTCCTTTGTTTCACTGGGTCCCAAGAAAGCTCTTTTGCACAATGAGTTTAGCTTGGAGATGTTCATTTGTGTCACTTAGGAGCTGCTTTGTTGCTCTGCTGTTGCTGCCCCTGTGTAGGATGCATGTGGCTCAGTGCTGAGCCCCAGAATGCTCAACTCCATGGGAAAATCCCAAAGTCGTTCCCAAGCCCTTGTTTCTCAGTGCTGTTTTCCCAGCATGGTCCTGAATGCCAGAGCTGGGAGCTCTACATGGACCCCTCTGTGTGGCACAGACTGACCTGGGCTCCTTTCCCTTGTGCCTCCTCGTGCTTCCAGGAGCGGATGGTGCTGGTAGGTTTGCCTGTGAGGGACCTTCCTAGAGGGCTCTGTGCAGGCTGCGTTTGAAATGCTGCTTAACCTCTAAATCCTACACACAGGCTGCCCTACATGTGTGCTGTACTGAGGGATGGTCCTTGCTCTTACTGAGCTGCAAAGCTTTGGGAAAGGGAGGGAACAACTCCATCACCAAGAAGACATAACAGGATATGGGCCAGAGCAGCACCTGGGAGCAAACCTCACTGTGTGCTCTCTTGTTGATCTAATGCGGTCCATAGGGCAACAAGCCATGGTGGTTCTCAGCAGCATTGAGGGATGGCTGGGACAGTGAAGGCACACAGAGAGCCAGCAGCAGTGGCAGGAGAGGGAAACCAGCTCAGCAGCTCCATGGAGCAATGAGGGCAGTGGGGAGGTGCAGGGGACCATGGCCACAGAGTGCCTCTGGGGTTGGGGTGCAGGTATGCCAAGGCAGAAGAAGGAACCCAACACTGTGTTGTGAACACCTCATTTTTATTGTCCAGCTCTTACCAAGGACAGTGATGTACAGGATGTGCAGTACCCACAGCCCGGCTCTTTTTGGTTTAGCCTATTTCTGACCTCCCCTGAGCATCCTGCTCGTGCCAACATCCACTTGAGAGCAGCCCTGAGAAGGACTTGGGGTGTTGGGGGGGGAAGAAGCTCCCCATGACCCAGCTTCAGTGCGTCCTTGAGCCCAAAACCCCCCCGTGTGCTGGGCTGCACCCCCAGTGTGAGCAGCAGCTCAGGGAGAGGATCCTGCCCCTCTGCTGCGCTCTGGGGGTAGGGGTTGGGTACTTCTGCCCCCTCCCCTGCTGTCCATTAACCCATCCTCTACACCTAACCCCCTCCCAGCACAGCCCATCCCTTCCACAGCAGGAGCCTCACCCTCCTGCGGCCCCAGCTCAGTGCCAGCCCCCCCTAAGTGAAGTACCGGGCCCTGCACGTCCTGTCCCCCGCAGCGCGGCTGCCGAAGGGCATCTCCTCCTCCTCCTCCTCCTCCTCATCCAGCTGCAGGCTGCCGGAGCTCAGCCTCACGCGGGCCATGGGCGCCCGCAGCACGCGGCCGTACAGGGAGCAGTGCTCGGAGGGCAGGAGCTCGGGGTCGGAGTCGCTGGACTCGGTGCTGCTGCCCAGGTACCGCTCCGTGGAGCGCCTCGGCCCCGGCCCCCGCGGCGCAGGCACGGGCCAGAAGGCTCCCCCTTTCCTGCTGCTCAGCGCGGGGCACGGCCCCAGCGGCCGGAACTCGGAGCCGAAGGGGAAGCGGATGGTTTTCATGTCCGACTGGCTCCAGGAGCGCTTGGGGGGCTGCTCCTGGAGGCCGTAATCGAAGGAGCGAGCCAGAGACCTGCTCTGCCCCGCTCTCCCCATGCACGCAGCATCGCGATGCAGCTCCCTGCCCCGCGGCCCCATCGGGCTTTGCCTGGGGGGCTTCGCTGCGTCCTCACTGGGTGCCAGCACATGCCATGGGGGCTGTGGGGCCACGTCCATGTAGAAGAGGACCTGCGGGGCCGGGGCGGCCGTGGGCGGTGGGCACGGCACATCCAGGTACACCAGCGGCCGGGCGCTCACCTCCCGCATGTTGCCCACCGAGGTGCTCTTGTTGTTCCCAGCGAACTGCTGCTGGGGCCGAAAGGACGTCAGGGGGGTCCTGGCACCGAAGGGGTCGGGGGGCTCCCGTGCCCGCTCCAGCTCCAGCTCCGCGTAGAGCAGGGGGAAGGCGGACGAGCTCTTGGAGTGGGGCAGGAAGGATGCGGGCGCCTCGGGCTTGGAGCGCTCCAGCTCGGCGGCAAACGTCACCTCCACGGCGGAGCTGCGGCGCTGGGTGTCCAGCGTGGGCTCCGAGGCGTGCGCCCCATTGGCGTGGTAGGAACCCCGGCTGCCGTAGGCCAGGCGCAGCTCCTCCACCTGAGCAGGGACAGAGCGGTGGGGCAGAGCTCCCAGGGGACCCCCGGGCACGGCTCTGCCCCACCGCTGCCACCATGGGCACGCACCTGCTTGGAGACGTCGGTGAGGAGGTCCGGGGAGGAGCGGCACTGCCTCTCGTCGTAGCGGGATGCGTAGTGCTTCCTGCAAGACCCAGAGCATGGGAGGGGCTGCCTGGCCACGAGGGTCCCGTCCCCCCCAAGCGCTGCCCCTCTCCGTGCCCGCCAGTACCTCTCGAAGGGCAGGCTCTTCTTTGCCCTCCTCCCGTGCTCCAGGAGCTGCCGCTGCGTCCTCCCGCTGCAGCATCGAGGGGTGTGAGCAGCACCATCAGCCCCAGCCCTGGGTGCACCCCGTTCTGGGCAGCCAGGGCTGGCACAAAGGGGAGGCTCGGGGCTGTGTTCCGGTTGTTCCCTTGGGACTTTACCTGTAGCGGAAGCTGGAGCCCTTGCTGCACAGAAGGGCTTTGGGCTTTGACTTGGGCTCCTCAGACAGCCTGAAGAAGGCATGGTACTCCACACACGTCTTCCAGAACGCCTTGCAGGCATCGCGGCTCGCCATCGTGAACTCCAGCGTGTCCTTGCGCAGCGCCTGCATCAACAGAGACAGCACAACCCACGTCAGCGCACGGGGCTGGGCTCTGCCCTTTGCCCTCCTGACCCAGCAAGGATCCCCGCGGCTCCAGGCAGTGCAGTGTCACCCCTGGGGACGTGGGAGCAGCACCCACAGGCAGCAGGGATGGAGGCTGTTCACAAGTGGGGGCCGCTGCTCTGAGCCTGGTACTCACTGCGATGTTGGCGTGGAGCTTGATCAGGAAGTGCTTCCTCTTGAAGCTCAGCTTGCGGATTTTGGACCAGTTGAAGGTGTTGATCTTTGTGTTGCCCTGCAAGGACACACACGGCAGGTACAGACGGGGCAAGCTGGGAATACACAGTATGATGGGCCACGTCCTGAGCTCGCAGGACACTGCGTGAGATTGATGCAGCTCAGTGCTGCTGGGGTCTGGGAAGGGATGCTGGGATTTGACCCTCCTCTCCATCAGTTAGACCTAAAAGGGGAACTTGAGCTTCAGGGCTTAACAACACCTCCTGATGCTGTTTGTAAAACTCCAGGGTCCCAAGAAAAGCCTCATAGAGATCAAGGCAGAGTCCTACCTGTCCCAGCTGAACACCACATGGGTTAATAGAGAATCAGCCCTCCAAGAGGGCCAAGACCCTCCTCTGCTTTGCTGGGAAGCGCAGCAGAGCTCAGTTCACTCCCGTGCCTTTAGACCCAGCTTAAGCAGGCTGCAGGCATCCCTTACCCCTCATTCTCATCGTACACCAGTGCAGGCACAGCCACACAGCAATGGTGTCACAGCAGGACCACCTAAACCTGCGTTACCCTGTGCTGGGGCACTGGGACCCTCTCAGCTTTCTGGGAGAGCCCAGAGCTGAAGGGGCTCACGGATGCTCTGATTATGGTTGAGTCTGGCTCTGGCAGCACCAATCATGGCTCTGAGCTCTGGGTGCTGCTGGGGACGGTGGCACTGAGCCCCACAGCCATCACCTCCACACCCAAGGGCCGGTGCGGTGTGCTCTGCTTTGGGGGATTTGGGAGGGTTTGGAGCATGCAGAGGGAAAAGGGTGCCCCCCCACCACCACCACCAACTGGAGGGGATGTCCCTGGGGAGAGGCTGGGTGCTGGCAGCCCCAGGCTCACCCGCAGGACCAGCACCCCCATGTGTGTCACGGCCAGGTTGATCTGCAGCCCCTCGCCATCGCTGGCAGGGTGCGGGCGGATCCCGTACATCTCCAGCTTCCTGGCCACGTCCAGCAGCTGAGCCTCCGACTCGGCCGGCGTCTTCCCGCTGCGGGCACAACCGTGCCGGGAAGCAACAAGAGAAGGCGGCTGCTGAAAACGGGCTGCACAGATGCTGGTTTGGATGTGCACACACGGGCATCCCGCCCGTGCTGCTGCTAATGGGAGCTGTCCCAGCTACAGGCGCCCATCGGTGGCTGTGGTCGGAGCAGCTCTTACCTGTGTCTCCGGTGGTAGTGCATGATTTTGTGGTCCAGGTACTCCTGGTTGGGCAGGTACCTGTGGGATGCCAGATGCTCCTGGTCCGTCTCCTCATGGAAGTCACCCAGCTCGGCTGCAGGGGAGAGTGTGGGTCAGGCTGTGAGGGGCAACAGTCCCTGGGGAAGGGGCACATTCCCTGCCCTTACACTGCAGCAGATGGGACACGAGCAGCGCCGCGCTCTTGTCGCTGCAGGGCAGCCTCCCCTGTGCCAGGTCCTTCTTGATCTGGAGGGTGAAGAGGTACCTGTGGAGGGGACAGGCTCAGCACTGCTGCGAGCACTGGAATGAGCAGTGAGGGTTCTGCTGCCAGCCCCACAGCTCCCCTGCCCTCGCCCATGCTTCAGCCCAAGGGATGCAGGTGTGTGGGGCCACGGAAGAGCACAGAGCCCCTGGAGAAGGCTGCAGCAGGGCATCACCACAACCAGAACACCCTTGCCACCCAAGTGCCCATCAGTAGGTTTCAGAGTTAACATAATGCTTAGGAGGGCATTTGCATCACTCTCTGGGCTGATGTTCCACAGAAGCACTGTCCTAGTCTTATTCTTTATTCCTGTTTCTATAAACATGAGCTAACAATGTCATTTAAATAGCACTCCTTCCAGAACAGAGCTTGAAGCAGGAGCCAGACTGAGCAAAGGCAGAGCTGGGGCCCAGCTGCTAAAGGCTTTGACAGGAGCCACATTGCAGCTCTTCAGAGAGCTGGTCCCGCAGGTGGGTTTGGTTTGAAAACAGAGCATCCAGAGAAGGTTATCCCCAGGGTTCTGTGTTGTGGAGGGGACAAGGGACCGCCCGCAGACAGGTTTGGGGGGATGAAGGCGAGGAATGAAATGCATGCATTGCGATGGCAGATGCACAGGGCTGGGTGGCACGGAAGCGACAGAACGAGCGGGTACCTGGTGAGCTCTTCTCTCAGGTGGCCGGGGTCCACTGGGAAAAATTTCACCATAAATTTGAAAAGAACCTCCTTAGGATCTTAAAACACAACACCTTCATCAGTCGTGGTTTATGGGTCTGCAGAGCCCCCCAGCCCTCTTCACATCCTCCTCACAGACTGCATCACCCTGAACCCAGCCTGCCCCCATCCCCAGTGACACCAGGGAGCTGGGCACTGTGATGCTACCAAAGTGAAAATGCTGGCACCAGAGCCCCTGTCCCCCAGCAGTAACACTGCACCAATGGGTCTGCACTTAGAGTAATAGTGTTCTTTAGATACTTACTTTTGACCTGCTTTGTTATGGGCTTCAGTGCTTCCAACCAGACCTGCAATGATAAGGGAATGAAGAACTGGGTGAATAAACAGCACAAGAGAAAGGGGATACCAGCAGCATCATGCTAGAGTGCAACACAAAACCATTGTCCAGCTCAGGGGCTTCAGCGAGCATCCTGCAGGAGCCGCTATGGATAAACCCCATGGACCATGGCTATCACCAGCACTGTGTCAACCAGTGCCTCCCCTCGTAAGTCCCATTTTCAAGGGGTTTTGGCATCACTTCCCATTGAACTCTCCCGCTGGGTGTTGCGGGGGGTGCTGGCACAGCCCCGCTGTGTGAGGATGCAGCGCGGAGCAGCATCACAGCGAGCTGCACTCACCTGGTTCCCAGCCTGGCTGCGGAACTCCAGCCCAAAGTACTCCTTCTCCGTGAGGTTGAGGTGGCTGCAGGTGAGGTTGAACAGCCCTTTCCCGCAGGCCTTTTGCTGGCAAGCAAGCAGAATGGAAGCAGCGGGTTAGGCAATGGGGACAGCAGCGGCTGTGGGATTTGAGGTGGGAAGGGGGAGCAGTTCTAGCTCCTGCCTTCACCCGGGAGCAGCTGTTGGGCTTTTCCGGACCTCACTGCATCAATGCTGTTGGCTCCAGTGTGTGCGGCAGGGAGATGGTGAACCCTGTGCCCCTTGGGAATCAGGCTCTTTCTCACCACTTCCTCCTTTATTAACGTGAAGCAGAAAGGGGAGGACAGGAACAAACCCCGCCTTTGGGCTCCCCTTTTGCAGCTCTCATCGTGCGGGCAGCCCCATCCCTGCGCAGTCCCTGGGATGAGCCTGGCAAACGGGAGCCCACCTCAAACCGTCCACCAGGACCCCCAGGTCCCTCTCCCCTACACTGCTCTCTAACAGGTCGTTCCCCAGCCTATACTGGAACCTGGGGTTGTTCCTGCCCAGATGCAGGACTCTACACTTTCCCTTGTTATATTCCATCAAGTTCCTCCCTGCCCAACTCTCCAGCCTGTCCAGGTCTCTCTGGATGGCAGCACAGCCTTCTGGCGTGTCGGCCACCCCAACCAGAGCCCTGCTGCTCCCTGCTCAGACACCGCTGAGCGTGGCTCAGTGCAAGCCGGAGCAGGGGGGCCGGGGTCTGCAGCTCCTCAGCCACAGCCTTGTGGGTGGTGAAGGCTGCAGCTCCCCATGGCAGGGATGGGAGGGACCCCATATGATGTGATGCACATAATCACCCCCTGTCCTGGCTTCTCTGCGGTGAAACTGCTGGCTCCGTGCTGAGAGGCTGCTGGAGAGTGATAGCGTAATAACAGCATCGGCTCCGCAGCCCTCCCGCTTCTCCTCCAAATGAAGGCTCACTGGCGTAATTAAAACCATTGGAAGTGGTTGTTTCCAAGCTGGAATCCTCCAGCATGAAAGGCCTTGGCCTTTGTCAGGCAGCCGGGAAAGACAAGGGTTTCTCACCGGGTTATTACCCCCCACGTGTCTGCTGGGAGCCACCCGCTCCCCTGCCAGCCTGGCCCAGGGAGCCCTGCTGATGGGGACACCAGTAAGAGCTGCTGCAGGGCTGGTGTCAGAGCCCGTCCCAGGGGTGCTGGGTACCGCGGTGCTTGGGCTGCACCCAGGGCTGTGGTTTAGGGGCGCTGGTTGCTCCTGGGGTTTGGTGTGATCTTTCCCCCTCCTTTGGAGACCCTTCCCATGCTGGGGGCTTCTGCACGGCCACAGCTGGCAGGGGAATCCTTGCACCAACCCCCACAGCCCTGATGCTGCCTGTGCCAGCTCTGCACATCTCCTGTCAACAGACTCCCACCTTTACTCCTCATTAAGGACATGATCTCTGTCCAGCCCCAGCCCCAGCCATCAGCCTCTCTGGCCTTCTTTGGTTGCTCTTTTCTTTCTTCTTTTCTTGTCTTTGCTTATTTTCCTTCCCCCTGACTCTTGCCCTGGAGCAAACTCCACCTGCAGAGATGCCCTGGCTCTCTCTGCCTGGGCTGCAAAGTGCTCTGTGCTTCCAGTGCGGCTCTGGGAGGGCTCCAGAGGCTGCCAGGCTCAGGACACTGCTTGGCTAAACCATTTCCAGAGAGGAAACCGATGCAGGTGTCCAGGGATGGAAGGGAGGCAGCTCTGCAGTAGCTCCTCCCAGTGCAAGAAACCAGTTAAACCCATTAAAGGCCACCTGTGGCTGTGTCCCTGGCACTGGGGCAGGGTATCCCTGTGCCCTCCCAGTGCAGGGCCCACTGCCATGGACAAATATTATTGAGCAGCAGTGCCCAGAGAAGCTGTGGCTGCCCCATCCCTGGCAGTGCTCAAGGCCAGGTTGGACACAGGGGCTTGGAGCAAGCTGCTCCAGTGGAAGGGGTCCCTGCCATGGCAGGGGTTGGAGCTGGAGGAGTGGGAGCCACCTCCAGCCCCCAACCAAAGGGAACCCTGGGGGCTCAGTGGCCATGGAGCCGTGCCAGGTCCCGGCTGTCAGTGAGGATGGGGATGGAAGCAGCTTTCCCGGAGCAGCATCCGGAAAAGAACCCATTCCCATGCAAATCCGGGCTGGAAATGAGACCTCACGCACGTGCTGCAGCTGTGGTACCCATGTGAGGCAGGTAGAGGCACACGCCGGGTGCAAGGGGGAATCAGGCCTCTGTGGCATCTCTCTTTTGTCCTTTTCCCTCCCATTACGCTGAAGTACTGCACATTCAAAAGAGCTTTCCAAAGTCAGGATGGGTTTAGGAGGAGTTGCTTGAAATATCTGCTCAAACCTTAGCCCAAAGCGGTCCTTTTGTAATGGAGAAGTCACTAATTCAACCTCTCATTTACCGTGCACAGAGAGCATCAAATGCATGAAATGCCTAAAAGGGGTTTCCAGTGCCGTTCCGTGCTAAAAAAGGAAATGACCAGGAGTCCCTCTAATGGAGGCTCTTTGCTGCAATAAGGTCTCGAGCAGCACCGGAGTGCTGTGGTTTGGGCACATAAGAAAGCAGAGATGGAAAACAAGGCAACAGCATTGTACCAGCGTCAGCTTTTAAAGGCTCTCTGCCTGTGCCCTGGTCTAATCAACGTGGGAAACCGACACAAAAAGGCATTTAAAGATGACTGATCTCATTCTGAAGCTCACTCCATACTAGCATACATGAATTAAACTGAATCCAACCACTTCCACGCTGTCAAGGGATGGAATTGCTTTACACTGCTTTGCTGTGCAAAGTGCTGTTGCAGAGAAATGGAGCGGTTCTCAGGCTGTGCTGGGAACCTGGAGAGCAGGGAAGGCTGGGAAATGGAATAGGACTTGGGGAAACAAGCTCATATTGAGCACTCTGGCCCCACAGGAGCTGCAGGTGAGTGCTAGGACAGGTCTACCCGGCTCAGCTAATTCACTTGGCTACGGTGATGCTCAAATCCTAACCAACAGCAAATGCTCCATCAGACTTGCACAGAGATGTTTCTAGCACACAGTCAAGCTGTACCCAGTTCCAGTTACCTGTGTGCATACATGTTATCTCTCTCTCACAGCACACATATTAATACTCCACATTTAAAACCTATTTCAGAGCTGGCATTTATTAGAAGTGCATTCCTGATGCCTGTGCTGTGGGACACTGTCATGCAGCAAGGAGGTACAGCGAGGTTTTCCCCTCAGCTGCTCCCAAACCCACACAGTTTTCTGTCTCAGCTGGCTGCCCAGGGAGAGCTGCATGCAGGGGTCATTTCCCTAAACATGCTGGTTTTATCCTGTTCTCAGCTTTTTCTGCCTTGTTGAATGCTCAGACTGGCAGCAGGACAAAGGGGAGAAGGACTCAACCCTTGTCAAGAGCATCATTTCCAAAGGATAAGTAAAAGCCATTCCTCCTCCTTTATAAATAATGCCCATAATAGGGGAGAGCAGGAGTGTGCTGGTGCTGAAAGCACTTAGCAATCAGCACCATCATCTCTTGGTTTGGATTCAGCTGAAACCCAGAAGCTATCAGAGACCACACAACCCTTCAGACCCCAATAATCAGCATAAACACACACACCCCCCCAGTACGGATACGATGCCCACTTACATCAACCACAAAGATCTTCTGGGAGTCATCCAGAAACTGGACTTTGAGGTGCAGCATCCTGGGGGCCGTGGCTGTGCGTGCAGTGGTCCCAGCGATGCGAGCAGCGCGCTGGGCAGGCAGCCCCGACTCCTCTTGCACACATAATGCCCCTCGCAGCTGCGTGGGGAAGTGAGGGATGCGGAGCGGAGGCTGGAGCGAGGGGACTGACAGCTTCAGAACAGAAACCCGGACACCTCCCCTGGGTTAATGTCACCACTGCACCACAGGATGCCTTCTGGGTGTGCTAACAGGGGAAACGCTGTGCGAGAGGGGCACCGGTGGGGTTAGATGAAGAGTGAGCTTCTGCAGGGGGTGAGCAGCAACGCGAGCCCGTGTTTCATACCATGGGGTCAGGGGGAAGAGGTGAGTGTCTGCTGTCAGAGCCAGCGAGCTGCACCTTGTCCCTAGGCTGGGGCAGGTGCACTGCAAGCCCACCCTGCTGCTCGCTCCCTGAGGTGGGCACCTAAGGATGGAGCAGGCGGATGCACTGATGGACTTCACTGGGACACGTGTGCAGCTGAACGTGGACCCGGGTGAGAGTCCTTCCTATGGAGGCAGAGCAGGAACTGCTGCTGACTCCCAGCCCGCACCCCGCTTTGGCAGCACAGTGAAGTCCTGGGAGCCCTTGGTGAACCTGGCTCCCATTCCACACCTGAAAAGCTCAAGTCCCCACACCCGCAAAGATGCCAAAAGGCAGCAGGGGGCTGTCACAGAGGGTTGCTATTGCTGCTGCTGCTGGAAGAAGTCACAACCCCACAGGACCCTATGGGACCCGAAGCGACAGAAACGCGGCTCAGCAAACAGAAGATGTCCCCTGAAGTGCCATGGGGATTGTGCTTCTTGCTCACTTCCCAGTTTCCACCAAGGCATCTGCTGAAGTCACCCCAGGCCGTTTGCTGTGGTCCCTCCTCCACTTCCCGAATACTCCTGGGGATGTTAGGACAGAGCTGGCCAGGACACACAGAGCTCATCATCTCCTGTTTCAGATGCATAAAACCCCATGAGTCTTCTGAGAACCAGGACAAAAAAGCAGCCTTAAAGACAAAGCCAATCTGCTTTATGGTGAGAGTGGCCGGAAGGGGCTGGCTGTACCCAGTGTGCAGGAATAGATTCCCAGCACTGCCCTTGGCCCCGAGGTCTGGGCTCTGTGTGGCAGCACAAGGGCAGTGCCACGCACAGAGGTCTGGGGATGGTGAGGGTGCTTCCCCCTCTGCAGTTCTAAGTGCTCCTGGTGTCAAAGGGTGATGGCGCTGGGAAGAGCAGCTCCCACATCGCAGGCATGGCAGGGTCTGGGTCGGGATTCATCAGGGCCTCTGACCGCCCTACAGAGCCATCCTACAGCCAGGATGGAGCCAGCGGTAGCAAACGAGGTAAACGGAGACTTCATGGGAATAGAATGATAGAATGGCTTGGGTTGAAAGGGACCTTAAAGCTCAGTGGGGACAAGGGGAACGGCTTGAACCTGCCCGAGGGGAGACTGAGCTGAGCTCTTAGGCAGAAGCTCTTCCCTGTGAGGGTGCTGAGGCGCTGGCACAGGGTGCCCAGAGAAGCTGTGGCTGCCCCATCCCTGGCAGTGTCTGTGCCCCTGTGATGCTGCTCCCGCTCTTTGCTTCCAAGCTCCCTCTCGTGGTGCTGGAGCCCAGTGACAGAGAGAGGCCACCGTGGGGTTTGCCGGGGGGAGCAGCGCCGCGCACCCCCCCACAGCCTGGATGCACCGGTGCGTAGTCACCGTGCTGCCTTTTCCAGCTGTGATGTGCGATGCAACAGCCATTGCCAGGCACCGAGGAGGGCCCTTTGCTGCAAGCCCATGCAGGTGACAGCACCAGCTCCACAAGAAGCTAAAGAAGAGCCTGGCGCTGGTGCTCTCTGGAGCACAGGAGCTCATTTTTAATACCCCAGTTGCACTCTGTTTCACAGCTATAGAGCCAACATCTGCGATGTTTAATTCAAGCAGATCACTGCGAAGACACGGGAAAGCCATTTGTGCAGGCACAGAAAGCCTCATGATGCATCCAGCTAAAGGAGCGCTGATGCCTCCAAAGCCATCTCTTAGCATGCAGGCATTTCTAGCTAGGGAGCCGCACCTCACCATGTCTGAGTAGCAGCACAAAGCACAGGACCGGTATTGCTGTCCGTAAGTTGTTCCAGGCATGACCCATTCCCGGGGCACTCACACATCCCCACACGGACAGCCAGAAGTGTCGGGAGCTCACCTGGAACGCAGCAGTCCCACAACGGGGTCTCCGATGGGCAAGCTCTGTCCTCAGGAATGCTGTTGGGAAGTCAAACCAGCCATCCCCTCCCCATGGCTCTCCATGAGCCATGTCAGCTCTTCCCTAGGTTGGTCCCCACGGGAAGGCCCACAGACCTCAAGTGCCACCCTGCAGAAACCCGGGTGGGAGTCGGGAAGCGCCTGCCCTGCTGCTGGTGCTGCTCTGGCTGTTACACGACTGGAAGCAGCAGCAGCTCCTCAGCAGGGAATTAAAGGCCCTGATGCTGCAAACCTTTGCTAAGCTTCCTCACGAGTATTCTAGAGCCAAAGGCTTCATCTGAGGAAGCTGCAAGGTGAAGCTGCAAGGCTGAATCCTAGTGGAAAGGATGGAATTCCGAGGAATTACACTGCTGGTTTTCATGACAGACGCGGTCTCCCTCTTGCCTCAAGACAATCGGCTCTGGCTGAGAAAGCCTTGATTACACCTATGCAAAGAAACATCCTCCGGGTACCTCATCAGTCCTTGCAGTCACTGCTGCCATCGGTGCTGCTGAAGACGGTCTGGAAGGACTTGAAGAGAACCCCAGCTTTGAAAGAGAGCTCCAGAGTCAAGTGAGTTGATTCCGTACCAAATGCACAGTTCCCATGGAGAACAGCAAACTTAATCCCCTACAATCTTGTAATTGAACTGTATCATCGCTGCCAGCCAAGCCACCATAAGCTCAATGCTGCCCTCAGCAGAGCCAGGAAACTACTACAGGTAGGATCTGACCTTTGAATTGAACGTTGCTGCTCAAAGTCCATCCTCTTTGCCCTGCTGCATTGATCAGGTAGAGATAAAAAGCCCCAAAAGCCAGGTTACTTCCCTTTCAGAGAGCACAGAGCACCTCACCTCTGCACATAGCCTGCCTACAGCTACGTGTGCAGCACGCTGTACATCACCTCCTCCAGCTGCCAGTGAAGTGACTCACAAACTGAAGCACCCACCAGCAAACCAAGCACCAGGATTGCTGGCTTCTCAGCAGGCATAACTCCAACAGGTTGACACGGATGGGGTTAGAACCCATATCTCATTTTAATGAAGACCAGACACTTCCACCTAGTTCCCAGCTGTAATTAGAGCCAAGCCCATTAGTGCAGATAACAGCTCCACCGAGGCGCGGTCACCCTCCACCCATACCAGTATCTGCTGCACTTCCTCCTCGGGCTGTCCTGCTGCAGGGTTCCAGTGGCTGGTGGTTCATACCTGTGTCAGTGTCACCTCATGTACCTGCCCCCCGTGCCAGGTGGGAGCCCGCTCCAGTCTCTGCTCTCTAGCCCCTTGGGAAGGATGGAACACAGAGCAGTGAGCCCAGCTTGGTAATACAGGTATCTATTTTATTAAAAAAGTTACAAACAGGTGGACTGTAGGGTTGTCTTACAAAATGACAAGAATGAATCTACTGGAAAAATCCTTTTTTACAAAGCATTATAGGTCATTGTTCTGGTTTTGCACTTGTTATTCCAGATTTCACCTATCACTGATAAAGATACAGTACATTAGATAGATGATGGTAGGTTACATTTGTCTTTGTAGAGCCCTACTGCAGTGATTTGAACAACTCCTAAACAGATGCCATAGTAAAGACAATACATATTGCATTTATTATTAGCCTCTTACTCTAATAAGCAACTTCACATGCAATCTATTGAGGAAGCCTAAAATAACTTTTGGTCCCTTTTTCCCCCCAAAGTGTGCTGAAGAAACCATCTCTTGTTTTCCCAGTCCTGTCACTCTAAACTAGTTCAAGTTTTAAAGTCCTTTAATTCTTTCTCCATTTGTTTTGTGCTGAGGTCCATGACAATGAACACTGGTTTGATAACTACCCATAGGAATGAACCACTGCTTCATAGCAACCAACTCCTTCCCCCTTAGACAAAACTAAGATCTTGATGAATTACTTTTATTTCCTAGTACTTCCTTACAACCTACAAAAAAGATCAATGAGTATCACTTCAACAAAAGAAACCTACTGTGAAGACAAGGTTTGGTTTAATTCTGGTATTAAAGTGCAAACCTAAGCATTAGCCTCAGCCTCTCCATCAGGTTTGTACAACAGGGGAAAAAAGAATAATTCAAGTAACCCCACAGGAAAACTCAAAGTGGGTGTTTCGCTACCCAAGCAGGAAACCTGCTGTTTGTTCCTCCTCTTCTGCTCAGGATTCCAACTCAACACTGAACATAGACTCAGAACCTTTATTTCTGCTACCACTGGCAAGCCAGCCTGCATTATTAGCAATGAAACACATTAGTGTGAGATACTGTACCGGTCAGCTTTTATTGTTTGAAATGCCATCATCCACAATACAATTGGTGAGTTTCCAACTGCCTGACCTCATCTATCCATCACTGCTTTTGCTGGAGCTTTTCTCCAAGTTCTTTAGCTATTACAGGGAGAGAATGGACATTTCTAGAAGCATGTTCAAATGACTAAAGCTGGGCTCCTAAAAACCTAGAACTTTGGTGCAGTAGGTGAGCTGCAGTTATTATACTTCTGCAAAACAAAAAGTACACGTTTGAAACCACTGCTAGGAACAGCTCTCATGTATGCAACATGTTAAACCGAACAAAAGAATCCCATCTGGTCTTTGTACATGTTCATTCTGCTCTTTATACCTGTGTTATTGTTAAAATCTTCAAGTATTCAGAGAATATGTTGCTCAGGTAAACAATAAGGAAGGCAATGGCTGTTTAAAGCACGCTCGCAGTTAGTATCACTGAAACCTGGTGCTTTTCCCCTTCTTACACCAACTTGTCTCTAATGTTAAACTGGTTTCTTGGGAAATCAAACCAAACCAACTAAAAAAAGCAATTTGTGACAGTGCAAGAAAAACTTTAACAAATATTGCTTTAAAATATTCAGAAAGACAAATATTAGGAACTATAAAATGTAAAGTGATCTTATTTGCATTAGATTTACATGTGCAGAGGTCTAGTAGATGTCTCGATGTGCCAGGCAAAGCTGAGCTGACCAACCAGGCATAAAGCCCATCCTGAAGGATACATTATCCCTTTTCCAAGGC